CATAACACAGTGGGACTTAAAGAAAAATATTGGCCTTGGCCTCTCTGTACACGGGAACATGAAGCCTGTTTATTATAGGAATCAACATTTTCCTAATGTAAAGCTTGTAACAGTCAAAACATCTATCAGATTAGAGTTCTCAGTTTCAGCCCAAGCCCGACCCGAGTAAGCCCGACGGGTCGGGTCGGTTTGGGCCGACTAATTAAGTTAATTGGGCGGGCTGAGTCGGGCTTGGACAGTGGAGAGAGAGAGATGAAAAAAAAAGTGTGTCTATATGTCAGAGAAGCGCACTGGTTGAGGGTGTGACAGCACTAACACACAATGCTGCTGTCCATGGTTCTTATTTTGGAGTCTGTCTCTGTCAATGAATCAATTATCAACATTTTCTCTACTTGTAAATATGTAGCTCTTCATCATTTTGTTAATCCATCATCTCCAGTTTGCTGTAAGCTGTGGTGAATGTAGGAGAAGCGCAGCGTCACAGAAAACCTATTGACGTGTAGGGCTATACCCAAATATTCGGATATTCGAATATTCATTTCTATGGGTAGGTATTCGTTATGAAAATTTGGTATTCAATATTTGTTTTTTGTTTTTTACATTTTTTGGTGCTAAATGTAGTCTTTTTGTTGTTCGTAAATGTAGGTTATCAGTAAAAATCAAAACTTTTAAATTGCATTAAAAATGTGAAAATGTTGTATAGCCTACCAACTGAGCTTGTGCACAGGGCACACTTGAGCGCATCTGTCTGAGGCTGTGGATCAATGCCAAGTTTTACCACTTTATCACTATTCCCTCTAACTTGTAGCTGTTTTTTCGTTATCTTTTGAATTTAATATCAATTATGGAACCGTTTTTGACAACGTTTGTTTCTCCCGTTTTGCACAATAAATTATTGTTTAAAGTTTCAACAAGTTTCTTTTGGAGTGCGTGACACAAGTGTGTTTTGAAAACGACTGCGGACTGTCACCTGCTCAACGCATCAGTACCTTCGGATGCCATGACAGTAATAGATTATAGATTAATAGATTATAATAATAATGTCAAAATATCATTTACAGACCGATTTAACAGACGATCACTGCTGCCCGACCCGCAGGTCCATTTACGGGTCCCGCGGGTTACGGGTCGACCCGCACATCACTACTCAGCTCAGTCTATAAATGCTGTACACAACAGTAGGCTATAGACATTATATTCTATTCAGGCTGGCAGAACCAGCAGCGCATCGGCTCTACAGTGCACGGCACTGCTGAGTAACCATATTATTGTAGCACAGAGTGTCTGCCAGCAACCAATTACTTGCAGAGGCTTCCTACAACTTGTTTCAACGGTTCAGATTTAATCACAAGACAAATTAAACAGGATGACTAGCCAATGTGAAAATCAAAAGAAAGCATAGAATAATGTAGTAAAGGAGACTGTTGTGCCATCACATCTTTTTTGTGGTTTGAGAGCAAAGATCCGGTCGCCACTGTGCAAAACTCCGCAATGCAATTAGTTCTGAAAAAACCCCGGAGTCCGGGGCTGTTGCCAACAGGTCGTCCAACAGGTCGTCGTCCGTGTCCAGCTGGTCAGCGGCTAACACAGATGCGGGGACGAGCCAGAGGATGGGAGAGTTTCTGCCGCAAACAAGCACCGAGACCCGGGGAGACATGGGAGCAACTTCATGTGTTTACAGCAGATAGCAGGAGCGAGGACAGACGTCTCACTCCGCTACTCTGTGCTGCAACGGAGCACACACTTTCAGTTTATAATTGTAACATCCGTTGGCCTACTAACTATTGATAACACGCTTAGTATTTTACAAATTTGAGGTTTTTTTTTTATTTGATGAATGTGGCGCTGATATGCAAAAATGAACTTAATGACTGTGGGGCAGTGGGCAAGTAATATAATCATAACACTTTTACACACGGTAACCACCCCCTGCCTGGCATAACAACTTTTCTGGCGGAAACCCTGCAAATACTTAAGGAGAGAAAGAGGGAAGTCTGCTTAGGGGCCTACCTTGTGAACCAGCTGTGCGATGAACAAGAAGCTCTGACCTGACACCTCATGCAACAGCCTAATAGCATTTTGGATTTCAGTCATCGCTGCAATTACACTGATGGGAGAAAACATATGCTTTTATACAAGTGAGGGGGCACAGTGAATGAAGTTGGGGGGCACTGCCCCCTGGTGCCCCCTCTTGAAGCCGACTCTGGGTATATCCATCTAGTTAACTATACCTACCTTAGGATTGTTACACATATGTAAGTTATAATGCTATATTGTTAACTGGCAAATTACGTGACAATGCATTTCAGGCAACAAGTAACTAGTAGTGTAACGAGTATTGTAACTAATTACTTTCTCCAGGGAGTAATCAAGTAAGGAATTACTTTTTTTCCTAAGTAATGTGTAAAGAGATGGATGTTGCTGTGGCTCTGTATGCTTCGTATGCTTTACGTGTTAATCGTCTTCTGCTTCTCGGTCGTCATGGTGTTTGTTTTTTTTTTTCCGGGAGTTACTGCACTGCTATATACTGAACTGCTGCTACGTTATCTCCTTCTTCTTCCGGGTGAAAGCCAGTGAAAGAAAAAGTGGTGCACGCGCAGAACGCTGAGTCTGACTCCAGTTGGACTAAGCGGATACATGCAGCAATAGTTCGATTTATTATCCAGGTGTGTTAGTCAAGCTACGGATAGTCCAATTTCAGTTGGACCAAGCTGTTTATATGCGTTTAAAAGTCCAGTTTCAGTCGGACTTAGCCACTAATTCGATTTTCTCAAGCTGCATGTAAACGTACTGAGTGTGTGAGCAGGTGTTGCGTGTCTTTTTGTACCTGTAGGGCTTAGGCTTGTGCCGGTTTGAAAATTTTCCAACCCGTTTGATTAAAGCCAAATATCTAACTGAACCGATATATCGAATTATATACCTAATTTTACCACTGGGGGTCGCATTTGAGCTATTTTTCCCAATAAAAGCCCATTATAGGTGTAATGCGCTTCCAATCCACTAGGTGGCGGTAATGCTGTATTAACTGCCAATAAACACAAGGTTACACAAGAAGAAGCAGAAGGACGTCAAGACGTTAGGGCAAAGACGGTGGATAAACCAGTAATAATAGTAGTAATAGTACAGTATAGTATATACTGTATAGTACAGTAGTAATCCAGTATCTTTGGTTAGGGCAACAAACTGAATGACTGCTGACTTCCTCGCACTTTTCCCCGCCCCCAATGAAATTTGATCTCTCGCAGCAGACAGCTGAGCGAAGCTGCGGAGTCCCTCTGAAGCCTCTGAGTCAAACTAACCAAAACACTTGTAGGCTCCTCCACTTCATTTATAAACAAACATAAACCTTATTAAGTTGTCATAATGCATGTTACAATGCAAGATAAGTTGAATATAGTCCCTTGACATGTCGCTGATGTGAAAAGCCCCCCCACCCCGCCGGTTTATCCGGTTGACATGAATTAAACCGGGTGGAGCTCTTAAACCGGACCGAACCGCTTAAACCGGAAATCGGCACAAGCCTAGCAGGGCTTCAGACTGGTACCCTTTAGTCTCATTTTGCAACCATGGGACACAAGTGTGACTTGCAGATATTATTAATATATGGACTTTTGAGCTGGTTGTTTGTTCCCAGCTCACAGGAGGTAAATCCTCATGTTTAAAGCTGCCACAATAACAGTTAAACTTTTTGCTAACTGCTAACATCTGGCTGTTGACCAGAAGCTACAATTTCACAACAGAAACATCAATGCTTCCAGCCTGAGACTAGCCACGTGCTACGGAATAAAAGCACCAGTGGTTCCACTTTGATTTATTTAATTATAACAATACTTTATTCACCTTAATTACAACAGTATTTTATTTGACTTTATTATGGCAGTAGCTACTTTAATTAACTGTATTGTAACCATAGCTCGTTTAATGTTTGTGTATTTAAGTAATCTAGAGAGTAGTTTAGAGGAGATTTAAAAGATATTGAGATATAAATTGTGTATCGAGTGCAGCCTAAAAATATTGCAATTTACTTTTAAGCCATATCACCAAGCCCAAGGTTAAATACACACCAATAAGTTTTTGTTTTAAAACACATAACTATTGCTACTTTTACACATAGTATCCACACTACTCCAGCATTTTAGAAATGCTAAAATGGAGACTTTTGCAAATGCAGCTCACCCCGTTTTAGTTTGAGAACTCTGGGGTCGCATTTTAGTGTGGACAGACAAAAACGACGACTTCTGGAAACGATGATGCAGATTCCCATGCTCGGTTCCCATTGGGTCTTATCAGTCGTAGCTTGTCAAGTCCAAAGATTATACTTAGGCCTATATACACTCTGTGATCTCATCCTTTCCCTTAACCATGGCTTCCTCTGGTGATGGATAATGCTCAGAGCTGGTGCTGCTTTAATATGTCGCTGCATTTGCTATGAAAATACCTTCAGTAACAGGTCCACCTCTTCGTCGGTCCAAGCAAAGAAATCTCTGGTCTTACTTTTCACCTAAGCAACCACCTGTAGAATAGACAATCTTCTTCCCTGTTAATATCAGCACGCACATGCCAAGTGTACGTGAATCTTCATGTGATATGTGTTTTCAGGTTTGTTAGTATGGACAGAGATTAATACTGAAACAGTGCTAAAACGTTCTTGGGTATTGAGATTTAAAATGTTTTAAAATGCTGTTTTAAAATTAAAGGTGTGGATGTGGCAAGAGTAGGCAAGTTTTCAAATGAGCATATAAATGAAATGTGTTTTATCGTATTTTCAAGATGATTTCAGAAGATTTGATTGGTGATATGGAACTGTTTCGATACTGCTGAGTCTTTCTTGGGTTCACATGGGATCTAGCATATCTCCATATTATGTGAAAGACAATAGCTTAAACCCTTAAATCTACATGCAAGCAACGGGTAGATCCAGACCAGGTTTTCCATATTTGCTATACATTTTATTTAATGTGAAATGTCCTTTAACTAATACAAATCTGTGTGTCTTCCAGGTGTAGCTGTTAGTGTCCTGAGGAAATGCCGCTGAGGTTTCGCTCTATTGTGCCCTACACACTACCCGGAGTCCTTGCACTGATTGGCTGGTGGTGGTACATCTCGCGGAAGAAAGAGCGGCTAATCAGCCATGACAGCCCAGAGGGGGCTCCAACCGCTATGGGCCTTAGAACATCTCCAGCAGAGGGTAGCAATGGTTTGGTTGAGAAAAGCACTGTATCCCCCACAAATGACACAGAAAGCCCCTGCCACAGACCTCCACAGGCCAGTAACCTGAGAACAGAACATGAAAATATTTCCCAGATCCATGTCCAGGGCACTGAGGCAGAACCTTCACTGAAACAAAGTTCCGAAGAAGCAGCCCCACACCTTGGCAGAATAAAACAAGAGGAAGTCCATAAACCCTCAGTCTCGACTCTACCTTCACCTGGCAAAGAAGACCACCTGCAGGTGTCACTGAAAGACCATAAAGACCCAGAGAAAACCTCAACACCTGCCTTGGTAAAAGAGCTGGACAAACACCTAGTCAAAGCTCCAGCCTCTGCTCCAGAAGCCACAGTCGAAGAGGTCATCCTGCCCTGCCAGTCTACCAAAGTCACCAGCTCCTGCCCCACAACAACACATCGTTCTGATGCAGAGAGGCCGGAGCCAGAAGGGGAAGTGGCAAAGCACCACAGTGCTGTTAACATACAAGATGAGATGATCGTTTGTGCAGTGACGCCAGCCAAAGTAAAGACAGTGATTCCATCAGAGGCTGACTCTTTAGAGACACCACCTTCAACGCAGGATTTCCACCAACACATTGTAACCAGCACACCTACCTCCCCGACCCCGACCTTCACAGCCCTGACAGCAGCCCAAGACTCCACCACCACATCACAGGACATCCAAGTAGAAAGTGGCAGCGGAGAGGAGCAGGATCTGGAGCTTCTTGCAGCTGGACTCATAACTGAGGTCATCTCGGCAGCCACCCAGGAGGTCCTCGGTGTCACCAGCTGCCAGGTCACAGACAACAGCCAGCCCAGCTGTAGTAGCGGTTCACCACTGGCTAGCAGCAGACTACGCTTCCAGCAGGAGACCAGCACAGCAGCACAGCAGCACCACCATCTACTGACAAGCCCCTCTCAGAAATGCTATGAGTCCAGAGAGGCCACAGAGGAACAAGAGCAAGGGATGCCTAATGGATGCTCCTTGGCTCCAATATGGGAGCCTGTTGAGGTCAGTCACAGGGTTCATCAGACAAACCATGCACAGAGAAGCCACTGGCTAACACCGTCGCACCAAGCAGCACAAAGTACTCCTTTGCAAAACACGAAACTGAAAGGTGATGAAGGAGCTGCGCTGGCCGACGACTCAGCCTGCAGTACGTGCCACTCTGAGGACGGCATCAGCAACGAGGAACTTCAGGACAGCATGTTTGACAACCAAATGGATGTGATCCAGGTTACAGACTTGTCAACAAGAGAAGCCACACAGCCTCAATCACTGGTTGAGACCGCCACTGAGGCGTCCGTGTTGGCTGAGGAAAACTCAGTGGATGCTGTGTGTGAGATAAAGAGGCTTAATGGAATGGGCCTGAGGAATGGAGCCCATGGGACATGTGAGGTGGAGACGGACCAGTCTGGAGGTGAGTCATCAGTCTGTTGATTCTCTGTACTAGTGTGAGAGGTGTTGCTGAAGTTAGTACAGCCACACCGATACTCAGGTTTTTAAGCACATACTCATATTAATAGTCAGATTTCAAATCTGAGGATGATATATTGGCCAATCGGAATCCCTGAGATTTTTTTTTGGAAATTGAATGTATCACTAATATTTCTGTTTACATGCAGCGGTGCATACTCCGATTAATGTGTCCTAACATGCCGTTTATTTTATACCAAAATATAGAGATGTGGAAGAGCCGTCACTTGTGTCATTTTGCAAAATAGTTTTTTTTTTTTCAAAGTTTTCCACCGGTGGTGGACTTGTTGGACCATGTGAACACAGCCTCCCTCTTTCATTCCTTCAACCACCTTCTTGAAAAGGTCAGCATTGTGATATTTGTGCCTGTCCAAAACCTGCTGATATCCAAATCTTTCATAATGTATGAAAGTAGGTGTGGGCTTTTCTTTTGGGTGCCCCTGCAAACTGTTGGTGAGTTTATTTGCATACAACACAGAGCTGACTGTAAACAGATAAGAGGCAGTGTGTCGCAAACAGCAGTGGAAACCCCAACTAATGAGCTTATTCTAAATGTGCTGTATACATATCCAAAGAATGCTCCTGAAACCTGAATAATACCAGCATATCTCGCATCTTCATCAGAAAATTATACGTTAATTTTGATTTCTTGATTTCTTTATTTTGGTGTTGTGCACACATGTGCCCAACCCACATAGGTTTATAAGTCCCCAACGAAAACAAAACACTCTCTCCCAGGCCTGGCAACCATAGTCAGTTACAAAAATGCTACATTTGGATAATAAACAATAACAATGGCATAGTGCTACACGATTAATCTAATCGCAGTCGTGATGTCAGGCTGTGCGATTACGTAACCGCATAAATGGCTGCGATTTGCGATTTAATGTAGGCTAAATAAATGTTAACGTGTGTGCCTGTGAACGTGGCTGCCTCTCCTGTAGTGTGTGGAGTTTGTTGACATCACGCCCACAAGCTATCCTGGTGCGTACAGCCGGCGTGCAGCAGTGACCAACACAGACGCTGAAGAAGAGCATGAGCTCGACCATGAACAGGCTGAGTTGGTGGCGAAAAAAACGTCTGTTACATGGCGATACTTTGGATTCAGGTACGGCGACGCTGAACAGAAAGACGCGCTGTTTAAGTGTAAAAGTTAAAGTCGCCACGTCCCGCTGCGACATGACCAATCTATAACAACACTTGAGACAGCACAGCACAGAGAAAAGTAGGAAGAGTGTATGCGAGAGAAAGCCGAGCCGTGTAACGTTAAAGACAAAGAGACAACTGAAAGCCGCCAGAGCTTCATAAAACAACATCCAAGCACAGTTAAGCAAACATTTTTAAGTGTCACAGGGAAATCATGGACTCCATAACAAATGAAAAATTGAGTAATTTTGCTCGGGTTCGGCCCACTTGACATGCTGCTGTGTTGTGCTATGGCGCTGGAATTTGTCATTTACTTGACAACGCCTGAACGCAACATATGCTCGCTCCGCTGTGTGTACAGTTCCGTGCTGCGCTGCTGTGTGAGCAGCGTGTTTGACTGTGCTCAGTCTGTTGATGGTCATTGACACACTGTCTGTCCATAACAATAACTGTCAGGTCAGTGCCCCCCTGATATAATGTAGGGGAAACACTGAATCAAGCAAAAAGACTCATGATACCATTTATTTATTACATTTTATTGTAATTACATTGTAATCGCAATCGCGATATTGTCCACCATAATCGCAATCGCACATTTTTATCAAATCGTGCAGCACTACAATGGCATAACACAGGGATGCATAATTAGAATTTTTTTTTTGCAGATATCCGATATGCTGATATATAACAATTTGTTTGGCCAGTTACCGATATCAATATATCCACTTTTTCCCCACCTAATTTTAATCAAGTCTCTTCTGTAGATGAATTAACATGATATTACACATGCATACTCTGATCATGATGGCCCACCAGCAGATGGAGACATGAAATAGAAACATGTTGGCTTATTCCAATAGTTCATTTTAAAGCCAATATCAGCTGATACCGATGACGTGCCAATATCGTGCATCCCTAGCATAACATGGCAATAACAATCTTTTGCCATTTCTGTTATATGGCAGCTGATCTAATCCTCTGCTCAGAGGGTAAGGAGCTCCAGAACCTCATTGTTTGGCCACTGTACCTCTTCTTTGGGTTAGCAGCTAACGGCCGTCAGCTGCTTTTTAAATCTCCCATGGTGGGTCGGACACATAAGGCATCATCAAAATGTCACACCCGTCCCATCCTGCCAGCTCTCTCTCTTACATAGACACACTTTTGGCACTGTTAATACCTTCACTGCCAGCACCTTCACTGCCAGCACCTTCACTGCCAGCTTAAAGGCAGACAACTCTGTCCACTTTTTCCGCGATCGTACCTATTATACAGAATGGTGAGGTGGCATAACGGCGCGGTAATCCTGTTTTGAACCGTCAGTGTAAAAGGGGCTACAAACTCTGAAATCTGTCAAACAGGTCTCACAGTAATAGTCAGGATTAAGTATTAATATGTTTTAAACAGGGGAAAATGAGTGAGTGGGGAGCAGTAAAAAATTACTTGTACTGTAACTGTTTAATTAAGGTCTCTACAGGAAGTGTTGTGTTTTAAAAACACAACATCAACAGAAAACAAAAGTTTTGCAATTTAAGTGTTGATGAATGATGATTTTACCCTCTGAACCTATGGAAGGATTTCAGTGTGAAACATCTGCAGGAAGTGTTTTTTCATGAACAGCAGCTTAACATTTAGAGAAAGAATGATGAGAGGGCTGACAGGAGGAACGACTGGAATTGATTAGTGGATGAGTACAGTTTTAACATGTTAAAGTATGTTTAAGTGCTGAATTTGCATTAACGGAATATGAGAAACTTTGAGCTTGAAAGTACACTCCTGGCCATAGGTACAGTGGTGTCACTGAAAGCACACACTCTAGCTCTTTGCTGGAGCTAGACTCTTTCCTGTCACTTTTTTACAACTTATTTAAGTGAATAAAATGTTTCTCCCTTTTGTCAAACGTCCCACTTTACTTTCTGTGGATGGACTTTACAGGTACCTTAGGTCTGTATAAATCCATAGTGTGAAAATTCAATTTTCTGTAAGTAAAAAAAAAACAAACAAAAAAACCCGTGTTTTGCTGCCACATGTGACCCAGTGGCATTAGCTGTGTAAATCACCAGTTTCATCACAATGTGATTCTTTGGACAACAGTACGATATTTGCTGATATCACAAAGACTACTGCAATCCGATTTTTATTTGATGCAATTCAGGGGCCTGCGATGGTTATGAGACAATGTGTGCCCATGAAACAAAATCAGTTATAAAAGAAGCTGCCACCCCTTTCTTTTTTGCTTTTGGCCATAAAAGATAAAAACAACACATAAGTAATGTGAATAATCGTAACCACCGAAGAGCAGGACAAACAAGTCAATGTTCAGGACTTTCTGTCAGAGAGCCCTTTCTGGAAGCAAAGTTTTCATTTTAAACTAAACCTTCATCTTTCTTTCCTGAAAACTTCATGACTATCGGCATTTAAGCTCTGAAGGCAAACTTCTCCCAACAGCCATAAACCCATTAACAACATCATTCAACAAAAGCAAGATATTCAGCTCAATGATAACTGTCAAGGTTCCTACACAAAAACAATTGTTTTCCTGAGTCACTTATTAGTTTAAGTATTTTTACATTGTATAAATTAGCCTAGCTGCCAGTGGACTTTTTCCCCTCTACTCATACCGTTTATGCTTTTTCACACTCACTGACAGAAAAGCACGGTTGAATTTCAGCCTGCATGCATTTCAGCCCAATATCAATAAAACAGAGAAGCTAATGTTGCTGCAAACCGTTAGCAGCGTGAGGTGCTTGGCCAGTCAGGTGACATGATTTCATAACTACATTGTTTACATACAGCACGTGTTTTGTCTGTTGACCACTATTTTCTCCGAAATCAAAAATATTTCCACATTGTGGATTTATTTATTTTTTTTCCCCAGAGTAATTAATGTTATCCTCATCGTTTTTCTCTCAGCTGCTTGCCATCTGCTTGCTTTTGTTTGACGGTGACACACAGTTCAAAATAAAATCATAACTATAAGATGATAATATAGGGTTGTTGATCATGAAATGGAGATATCTATCCAGATCGTTGCAACCCTAGGCGATATGTGAGGTTGAAGACAGTGTAGATGCTGTTCTTTCCAGTATCACATTGATGTCTCACAATTAAAGTGATACGATGCCTGAGACACCCTCTTATGGGTGGGCCACATGCCATTAGATTGCCCAGGCTGAGCACTGGACCCTGAAACATCTATGTTTCTTTGAATATTGCTGGTAGAGATGGTGATTTTGTGTGTGTGTGTTTATTCAGGCTCTGATGTGAACAGTATGGACTCAGTGGATAGCGGCTGCACTATGGGTGCTGTGGAAAGCCAGAGCAACCATGCTGCCTCCTCAAGCTCTGACCTCATCATCTGGGAGATTGAGGTGCCAAAGGTAAGTTGGGACAACAATTACAAAACTATGACTTTTCAGTGTGACATGATATCAACCCCTCTTACATTATACACCACATCTTTTAAGTGTAAAATGGAGCCAAGCAGCTTCCTATTTACCAGTGTCAGTGCCATGTCTTGTGTTAAAAAATAACATGAAAGATTTTCTCAGCCTAACAAAAGATTAATGTTTGATATAAACAAGTGTATGTGTGATGCTATAGAGTATTGATCATGTTAAATGGAATAGAGCAGTGAACTTATGGCCTGTGGGCCAAATCTGGAGCTGGATGGCCTCCTCAACTATTTTCTGATTCACAATGAAAATAAATTGTTTCTTGTACTTGTAACATAAATCAGGTTCCAGGTTGCATAATAAGCATCATAATAGAGCTTGAATGTGAGTACAAAATTGTGACCGATTGCAGTTTAAATGAAGGCTGCTCAGATCAGGACTTTTGGGGCTGATCACTGATTGCTGGAAGCAGTATGGACCAATACTGAATACAGAGTCTATTTGAAGCCTTTTATTGATCGTGTTTAGGTACTCCTCCTTGCCTAACAATATTGGACAACATTAAAGTTAAGAGGTGAAAAAGTATCATGAACTGACAACAGCTTATTTATTGGCAGGTAACATGCAACACTTTTCACACTCTCTCTGAGACACAACTTGAACCATAGCTGCCTATGTGAGGTTAATGGGAGCAGCTTACAGCTTAACAAATAATAGATTCCCTGTGGAATAAAAAATGTACAATTTTATAAAATCAAAATAAGAATAAAAGCTAAATGTGCACAACACACCTAGTAAGAAGAATAAATTATACTGAAGCAACTAGTGTGGATTTTGTCACCTATTTGTTTCAGTCGTGTCACACGTTGTCCTTATTTTTAATTATAGTTAGTCAAACTCATCCTGTTTCTTTAGTGCAGTCTTAGTTGACTAACTCTTACCTTTATCATAGAAAAGCAGTAACTGTTAGTTTTAGTGAATGAAACAATTGACATTTATTCTATTTTAGTCATTAGATTATTGAACATTAGACATTATTAAGTCAGTCTAGTTGAGTCAAACCCAATAATATGGTCATTTTAATCAAACACAAGATTTTTATCTTTTGATTATCTGATGGAGAACACAGGTTGAATTATAACTTAACATGCTACAGTTACATACTTGTGACACTAGCTCCTTTTACACTGCCAGATTTTTGGCGAATGTTGGGCCATTTTGCCGGCAAGCTGCGAGCCTTTAGACACACAGAGCCAGATTGCCGAGTTGATCCGAGGTGCCCAATTTTCCGCCTCGTAGGGTAGACATATTGGCGGAATCTTTTTGGTTTAAAAAGAACGAGGCAGCCATCCACCACGGGAGGGGCTGTTGATGACTTGTGGGAGGAGCTGTTGATGACGCCGCACATGTGAGCCACTGACGGTGGATAAACAGGAAACAGCTGATAGCAGGAATGAGCAGCTAGTAGCAAGAGGGAAACGCAAATCTGAAAGACGCTGTAAAGATGAGCAACTGGGGAGATGAGGAATTGCGCGTCCTCCTTGTCCTCGCAAACGAACAGGCCATTAATCGTCAAGTAAAGGGAGCGGTAAAGGACCGGCTAAATTATGAGAGAATGACTGACCAGCCGCGGCATGTACTGTACGTCACTGTTTACGTCACATGCCGAGCTACACGTTTTGTTACTTGCTCATGCCCCCCCATTGCCCCGATAAAGGCGCATTATGTATAAACAAAAGTAGGTATGCGGCATTTTGCCGCACTCCCCGATTTTGTTTTTATACTGCCAATGCTGAAAGAAGACTGATTGGGCTTTCCTGCAAATTTGCACAATTCCTATTTAAAAAAGGGATACTGACAGACTCAAGTGCACACACACACACACACACACACACACACACACACACCAACCTATAATGGACAATTGTGTTTATTGACTCACTTGCTCACACACACATATCTGCATTTTAGCGGTGCATAGAGAAATTCTCTACGTGTCTCATTTTTTTAAGTGACCCGATTGGCTCTTCTTATTGACCACCAATCAAACTAACTGAAATGAATATCAACGTGTAACGATCAACAGTAGTTTAAAGGGAACCTATTTTGCTTTACTGTTCTAAATACTTTGTTAAAAATGTTTTTTCTTCTTTGGCTACAGCATGACAGATTTCTTTATGTTCATCTGCTGTAGGCAGATGTAAATGTTTACATGTCATACATCAGGAAACCAAGTAAACTAGGTTGTCAATGTTGTAAATTTCTCCCTGATGTTGGAGCGGAGTCCTGTTAGAACATGTCCGGTTGTATCAAGCCGCTTTTATTGGTGATTTTTCACAGAGTGGCGCTATTCTCCATTACAATCTGCCAGAGCAGACTGGGCTTTTACTGTCAAAACCCTCTGGGTACATCTCACACCTGAGCATTTCTGTGAGTTTGTGCAAGTAAAAACATAAATAACTATTTTGGCAGTAAGTGTTGGAGTCAAAGGGCATCCCAAACTGAGACAGTCAAATACTGAACCCCATGCCCTGTACCAAATGGTTTGAGACAAATGTGTGAAGTTTTCTGACTCTGGCAACTACTGATCGAAGTTTCCAAATACAGATTGGAAGAAAACAATACATATTGCTAAGGGTGCTCTATTCCGGTCAATGGAGTTTGTTTCCTCTTGATAGTAGTCACACAGTTAATGATTTCCAGTGTAGGGTGGCCAACAAGTCCAAGGGCCAAGGGCAAACCTTGACAGAGTCTTTTAAGTTTTAAATAACATTTAATTCGCTGCTGAAAAAGTCGCTGACAAATGCACTGTTCCCTCCTATTTGAGTAACGCTTCACTGAATCACTGAGCCTGTTTTTAAAAATGAAACAATATATTTGTGTAAACAATATATTAAGACTTGTATCTTCAGTAGGAACCAGTGGCACAGACAGTGTAGGGAAGTTGGCCAGTGTTGGATGAACACCTTGGTTTTAGACTGAACATGGGATTTTTAAAAAGACTGAAAATATAGAGTAATGCTGTCTTTAACATTTTAATTAAACAGTGGGTTAGAATCTGTCTCTGAAAATATTTAGAATGCAAGGTCATCCATGCGTTTGCTTTATGAATTTGTGTATCTGGAAGAAGTAGATCTCCAGAGTTGTCAGCAAGTGTTTGAGTGTTGGCAGGTGTGGTTTCACTGAAATGCCTTCTGAACTCCGGAGTCTACAAGTGATTTTTAAAACTAAGCTTCATGTATTTCTCTTGCTAAAACAGAGATAAACCTGATAGACTGTCTTTAAACACAGTGAGTCTCATTCATAAAACGTGAGCTGAAAGAATGTATGTAAACTGTTTGCAGAAGGAAATGTATGTGTATTTTGGCATTCATCGTGTTGGTAGCTCCGATCTTTTCGTAGGTAGTAACAAAATCTACACCTGCTTCTGACTGCTTGTAGTGCTTGTGTAAATAAAATATTGCACATAAATCCTGCTTGTCATTATTAGAAATGAGTTTTATTTCATATTGTGCTCTGTTATGTTCACAATACACAGATGCCTTTGAAAGAAGTTAAACATGGCGAGATTAGAAATGTATTTAAAATGTAGTTAAATTAGTTGACAATTAGCAGATTTAAGATCAGATTAAGGTTCTGTTTTCTGCTGTTTTGTGCAAAACGAACTGTCCTTTTTGACATGCTCTTGTCTCCTCTGCCTGTCCTCCCATACCAGCATCTTGTCGGGCGGTTAATAGGGAAGCAGGGAAGATATGTGAGTTTCCTGAAGCAGAACTCTGGCGCAAAGATCTACATCTCCACCCTGCCTTATACACAGGAGTTCCAGATCTGTCACATAGAGGGTGAGTCAGGGGGACATCCCCTAATGGCTTTACAGAGCTGCTGAGCTCCATGTTTTTCATTTGTTTGGGGTTTTTTTTGTTTGTTTGTTTTTTTGTTTTGTTTTTTTAAATTGAATGACTTGTGTTTGTCTGCAGGTACGCAGCAGCAGGTTGACAAAGCCCTGTCCTTGATTGGGAAGAAGTTTAAAGACCTGGACTTGACCAACCTATATGCACCTCCGCCACCCCCACTCACATTACCATCACTTCCCATGACCTCCTGGGTAAGGATGAGCTCTCTGTCTGCTCTGTGCCAACATTACTGAACTCAGATTTTAAACTGCTACATTATACAGTATAGCCAGACTAACAAGGCTGAAAATGAACCATGAAAATGAAGGTGTACGTCAACCCAGACTGGACAAGAGATTTTAGTTGCAGGTTTGCAGCTGGTTGTCATGGTTGTCCTTTTTTGCAATTTGGTGTTTTTTGGAGGGTTTTTTTTTTTTTGCATCTTTCTGTACAGTGGTGATGTCCTCTGAAAGTTAGAGATTCAAATCATCAATCTGAGACCCCCTCAGTTGACTGAGATTGCTTCAAGTTGAGCAGTCTTTGGTTAACAAGTGGACGTCTTTATAAAATGCTACCAAACCCCATCCCTCGTCACAGTCGAAATATGGCAAAACACACATGAGCCTGCTGCAGGGTCCTGGTGAGAAGAAGCAATACAATCCAAAAAGTCCAGTTAAAAGTTTCATTAGACACAAAGACTGCACATGTGTTTATTCTCATTTAAGCAGGAGTGTACAATGCTTGAAAGTGAATACAGCAGCTGTCACTTTCCTCTACATCTGTGCTTGCAAGGTAAATGGTAAAATTCCTATCATATAAGCTACAACCAAATGGTGTTCCTCCTAGTGTCTTTTTTTTAATTACCTTAACCAAGGAGGTCATGTTTTGGACTGGGTTTGTTTGTCAGCACATTTACAGAAAAACTACTAGCCCCATTTCCTTGCAACTTGGTGGACTGTGTGTAGCATGGGCCAATAAAGAACTCATTGATTTTTGGAGCAGGTCTGAATTACTGGGCACATACACAAATAATATTTCCCTTTCATTAACATTACAAGATAGGCTATTTGACCTTGGCAGAATAAATGCCATATATCTTAAAATCCAGTAGATGGTAGTAAAGTTCAATACTGACAAAACACAGATGGTTGTAGAAATATGATGATGCCATATCATATTATATATCCACATTGACACAAATCAGGAGTTGCCTACACATGTAGCCCCCTTCATCTTATGGATGAATTCAGCAATATCACATAAGAGGGAGTGATGTTCTACTGAATATTAGCACAGCTGTGATTTGGTTTGTAGGCACAAGGCCACAGGCCAAGTGCTGAAGACAGTCACAGCATTGTGCTACCATCTGATGTCACATGATCGTACCTGGAGAGTTACAGTGAATCCAGGCTTCTTTCCTGCCCTTTGTTCTTTTCTGACAACCATTCATTATTTAACTCATATGCTATTGGTGGAATTACGGTCCTCCTTGTGGTGTGGTTTGTTACGATGACCCTTATGTTGGCTAATTAATGGTTAATATAATAAACAGCTCAGAACACCTGCAAAGCGGAGTGATACATGCATAGTTAAAAGTCCTGTTGCTGTTAGACTGTATATCAGCACTGATGGAATGCCTCCTGTCCAATCAAAATGCTTGGTCGGAACTAACTGTTGTATGAGTGTGGTTTTAGCCATAAGGAATGCAGTCTGGATCATAGAAGAGTAACGGTTCCGCTCATGTCATCTGTCCCCTCAGCTTCTGCTCCCCAGCGGAGTGACTGTTGAAGTGATAGTGGTGAACATCGTGTCAGCTGGTCATGTCTTTGTCCAGCAGCACACCCATCCCACCTACCACGCCCTGCGAAGCCTCGACCAGCAGATGTTCCTCTGCTACTCCCAGCCAGGCACTCCCACCCTGCCCTCGCCCGCTGAAGGTAACCTTGGTTACAAAGTGGGATTAAAGTCATTGCAAACTGATAAATGTCTGTGCAGTGTTAGTGGGAAAAGGCTCCTGACAATATCCTCTGATGGCAGCACTAACTGGAGACAGAGTGGAAGATGGCAGTAAGGCCAGTTTCCACAGCCATGTCATACATGTAACCATAACAGATGCCCAGAGCGCAGAAAAAGCCTAGAAACTGAAGTACAAATCGAGCAACACAGGATCGTTTGTCTTAAGTGTAAATATTATAACTATACCAAAACAATAGTACCAAAAAACTCAGAAAGAAACAAATTAGAAATCACACTTTGAATTTCATCATGGTTTCATCATTTTAAAGTGTTATACGTGAATTTTAGTAAGCAAAACTGCATGTAGCAGTTTTAATTATCTTTTTGTCTGTGTGTGGTGCAGTTGGTGTGATCTGTGCAGCTCCAGCAGTGGAAGGAGCCTGGTGGAGAGCTCAGGTCATCACCTTCTACAAGGAAACCAATGAAGTGGAGATCAGATATGTGGATTATGGAGGCTATGACAGAGTTAAGATCGACTCACTACGGCAAATAAGGTGAGTGTCAGAGGTCTCACTGTATTGAAACTGTATCATCTACAAGAACAGTGCAACTCAGGGCTCATTTACTCCCTTTATGTACGAAAATAGATATGTCTGTTTGAAACTGCCCTCATACTTCCATGCATCCTTAATGATGGCAGAGATACAGCCAGTAGATGGCAGAGGGCAGAGTCAAAAGTTTCACACAACATCATACAAGGCAACGGTCAAGTCAACTTTGTTTATACAACACTTTAAACACAAACAGAGTTGATCCAAATGCTCTTACAGCTCACAGAGAAAAACAAAAGGGAGGAGAGAAACACAAAAATTAGAGTGACAATAGCAATAGAATAATAACAGTAATGATAACTTATCACAATCAGTTCATCTCTGCTCATTCATGCTCTCCAGACAGCTCCGCCCCACTTACTCAATCAGTTTCTCCATCAACACTCAGAGAGACACAGAGCTGCTCCTCTGTTAAATCTGTCTGTTAATTACTCTTCAATGCGACATCGGTCTATATGTTGTCCAAGCTATACTAAATCAGTCTGTGAGATGAGTAAAATTACAGCAGTAGCACACGTACAATACTGTGGTCCTTTTCCTCTGAAACTTTTGGCCACACCGATTTTTGTGTTTCCGTTATCAGTATAGACGTGCATTGCCATGCCAAGCTGCGCCCCTACTCCTTCTCTGGAGTAGGTCCAAAAGCCAGACCACCCACACTCAAGCGGGTAGCAGTGGTGTCTCGCCGACCGCAGCCAACACGCAACCACCGTGTTTCTTGTGAGACTCTCCTCTGTCTGCAGGAGACCAGAGAAAGGCGTTTTTAAAAGTTTCTGTGTGTTCAGCTCTCAGTAGTTTGTAGCTTTTAACTGAATTTTTGGGGTTTTGAGTTTAGTTTCTCTCCTGCGTCCTGTTTTAACTTTAGATATCTACTTTGTTTTACTGTTTCATGTTTGCTATTAGCTGTATTAGAAGTTGTGTGAAGTTGCCGCTTGAAAACTCAACTCATTTTGCTGCTTCACAATAAAAGTTTTTAAATAACAAAATAACTAAACTTTTATTTTTAAGACTCTATAGGAATTGAAATATGTTTATCAACTAATTAGCAGAACTTTGTTAGCAGTTTTATTTTCAGTTAAGACACGTCTGATAATACAGCAGGGCTGAAGAGTACTTCAGCCATGGATCAGCTTGCAACTGAACACATGTAGCCCACTTAGTAGAAAATACCGCGATATACATTGTGCATCGCCATTCAGCCTGAAAATACCGGGATATGAATTTTTGTCCGTATCTCTAGGCCCTAGTAAGGAGGCAAGAATGGAGGTAAGGGGCTCCCTCTTTTTGACATTGTTAAAACTCTTGCTGCATTTTGGACTAGTTGAAGACAGGATAAAGAAGACCTGAGTAATACCAAAATATAACGAGTTGCATTAATTGAGGTGGGAAGATATGAAGGCATATATGACTTTCTCCAAGTCAGAAGTACAGAGAATTGATCTGAGTTTGGAGACGGTGTGCAGCTTCATGAGACTTCATTTTCCAACTTGACTGATTTGTTTGACAAACTTCAATTCAGAATCAAATATGGCTCCAAGATTTTCAACATGTGATTTAACAGAGGGGGCCAATGGGCCAAGATGAGGAGGAATAATGCTAGTCAAGTTCCATTCCATTTTCATCCACTTATTCGGGCCGGGTCACGAGTAGGGGTGAGTTTGTGTACAAAAATCTCTTAACATTTAGAGTGGGTAATTTTTTTTCGTGTCCGCTGGGTGGTGCTATTGCATTATACCAGTAAAGCCCCAGTTATCCGAATACCAACTGAACGGGCCATTTAACCAACGGTTACAGGCCGCCACTCTGAAATATCGCCATTCCGACGGTCCGCCATCCCGAATTCTGGTCCCTGAGTCCTGACACTAAGCTATGGCGAGCCTGTAGAAGCCGTATTTCCCATACATGCCAGCAATTTTCACCGGGGACGCACACGGCAAGTAATTCAGGCTAACATTACCTGTTTTTCAGCGAACTCCTCTGGTAATTTCATTAAAGAGCATGGCATATAGGTCCACAGTAACATTATTATTATTATTATTATTATTATTATTGGGTCTTATAAGAGTGGGCTACAATGAGTACCGGGCCATCAAATCACAGCATCTGCGGTGAGAGGACACGGAATTGTGTGCGCTTTTACGCACGCGGGTCTAGGTGATCACGGATATTTGATGTGGGAAAGATGTAGCCAGATGTATTACCTGTTTTTTAGCGGCACCGAGATATGTGGCTCGTCCATCCGTCTATCCGTAGCACGAGTCATGTGTGCCACTTCACCACCGACCCATGCGTAAAAGCGCAAACAATTCCATGTCCTCTCACCGCGGATGCTGTGATTTGATGGCCCGGTACTCATTGTAGCTGGCAAACGACCCCCTTAACGAACGTGCCATTTTAATAGAACGGAGCACGTAGGTTACTGACTTGTTGCCAAACCCGGTCTCACACCATTTCTTGTCCTATTCACCGTCTATCACATTTAGTCAAGAATTAGTATCACCCCCCTCCCGCCTAAAAAAAAAAAAAAAGAAGAAGCTGTTCGTGTTCTAATTTTTTGTAACTGTTTATGACTCACCCCTAGTCACGGGGGGCAGCAGACCAAGAAAAATGCCACAAACATAGCTACCCCAGCAACGCTTTCCAGCTCCTCCTGGGGGACTTTAAGACATTTCCAGGCCAGATGAGATATGTAATCCTTCCTGCATGTTCTGGGTCTGCCCCGGGGCCTCCTTCCAGTGGGAAGTGCCCAGAAGGTATCTTGATCAGATGCCCGAACCACCTCAACTGACCCCTTTCGATGCGAAGGAGCAGCAGCTCTACTCAGAGTGCCTTCTGGATGTCTGTGCCCCTCACCCTATCTCTAAGGCTGAGCCCAGCCACCCCACAGAGGAAACTTATTTCAGTTGCTTGTATCTGTGATCTCATTGTTTCGGTCACTACCAAGAGCTCATGACCATAGTTGAGGGTTGAGATATAGATGGACCAGTTAATCGAAAGCTTCGCCTTCCAGCTCAGCTCCCTCTTCACCATGACCAACCAGCAGAGCCTGCATCACTGCAGAAGCCGCACCAAACCACCAATCCATTACACACTCCATTCTACCCTCACTCTTGAACAAGACCCCAAGAAACTTAAACTCCCTCGCTTGAGGCAGTAACCCTCTCCCAACCTGGAGAGGGCAATCCACTGGTTTCTGGCAGAGAACCATGGCCTCAGATTTGAGAGCTGCTGACTCTCCTCTTGACCGCTTCACACTCGGCTGCAAACTGCCTCAGTGCATGCTGGAGGTCACAGTGTGATGAAGCAAACAGAACCACATCATCTGCGAAAAGCAGAGATACAAATCTGAGGTTGCCAACCCGGACCCCTTCCTCCCTCCGGCTGCTCCTTGAGATCCTGTTTATGAAAGTAACAAACGGGATCGGTGAAAAGGGTCAACCCTGGCGGAGGCCAACACCCACCGAGAATGTGTTTAACTTTACTTCTAGTATGTGGACACAGTTCTCACTTTGGTCATACAGGGACTGGATGGCTCGTAGCAGGGAGCCCGGTGCCCCGCACTCCCGCAGTACCCCACACTCCCGCAGTACCCGCCCACAAGACCCCCTGAGGGACGTGGCCATAAACCCTCCCCAAGTCCACAAAGCACAAATTCCCACGACCCCTCCAGCACTCAAGTGCTGTGGTCCAAATAAAATAACTTCAGTTTTCTCTCATTGAGCTGAAGAACAGTGGAGGAGGTCATAATAATGTACCTTTTAAGATGGCAGTGGTCTGTGAGGGCATTTAATACATTGCAACATATGTATGGAAAATTCTTTTCACTATATTAGGCTCATTTGGGATGAACGGCCTCTCGTCTGGAAACTGGAAGAGATCAGGCGGCTGCAGCAGGAGGTGGTGACAAAAAGTCGCAGTGAAGTTGGACAGTTTCCCAACAGTTCCCAGCAGCCTTCATTGTGTACAGGAAGTCGCAGAAACACCCACATCCTGTTAGATCTGATGCCGATTTATTAAAAATGTTACCAGATTCGTATATCATTTTGTTCGGAGTCTCCAGTTGTTTTAATTATGACGGAGTAGTTTATTAAAAACTCTCCATTTTACATAAAATGTCATGTAAATCAGCATCATCAGTTTGCTGCTGCAGAGCAGACCTGTCCCCTCAACTACATAAATACATTGATAACATCAACAAACACGGAGGAAAGAAATACAAGACAACAGCTTTCATTACAGATCAGTCAGATATAGTCAGGGCTTCACATCTGCACACATATTTTAAGAATCCTCACATCCCACTGACCACAAGTCTTTGTGTTGCCAAATACTTCAATAATTAAAACAGTCCAATGTTAATATACATTTGACTATGTATAGTTTATGTTGAATGTATTTAGTCTCTGACTACTAAACTTCACTGTCAGTCACACAACATGTACTCTGTTAAAACCTTCAAATCAGACAAATAACATCTGAATCTCTGAAATTCAACAAAAATAAAAAGTTTATTTAAAAAAAACATCTTGTTGAGTCAACACTTAAATCAATCAGCTGTTAGATCAGGTAAGAGCCAGCCGTTTCCCATCATGCCCTTGGTCTTACAGTTGGTGGAGAGCAGCTGCAGCTCTTGGCTCTAAAAACTGCAGCTGCCTCAATCTTGTGAGAATATCCCTGCCCGCTTTTGCAAGATGTCGGAGCAAGCTGGGATGAAGTCAGAAACAAATCTAACCGGCATGCATTGTGTCGGTGATCGAATCTGCGCAGGCTTGCCTCATCTTGAACGAGCCTGTTATTGTTTTGTTCTGTTTGGCCTTTTTTAAAATCTCTTTTGAACTAAGTTAGACTGCCTCTGTGATCTCTAGTGGTGTACTGCTCCATTGTGTCTGTATCCATAAGCTTTAAAGAAGCATGCACAATTATGGCCATAATGAACACAGAGTATGGACAGAAGGCTTCATCCGTCTCCATATCTAATATTGAGCATTAATGAGACATAACAATACATCAGCACTTACTAACAAGCATAATGGAAGTGCTTCTCTAAATAGAGTTTCCTTCCAATACCTTTCTGGGTAAACAGCTCTTCTGTATGTATAATCATAGAAGTGCATTTCTCATTTTAATTTTCCATGAATGAAAATATTGTAATATAAGTGTTAAGGCACTTATATTACAATAATTTTTAACAGTACAAACAGAATTCTCAACAGATGCAAAAACTTAATAAAAAGAGAATATCACTTTAAAGAGATAAGATTGACACCCTGGGTTTTTTGGTTTCTACTAAGTCTATACCGCAACCTCCTGGTTTCCTCATGATTTTTTGTATTCAACTCATTATTGCACTGGGAGTCCTACAGAAACTGGAAGCTACACCCTTTGAAATCTGAAAAACAGCAACTTTTTCCAGGTGCTTTTTAACTCCCGTGCCTCTATCCTCTCCTAGTACAGCTCCAGTACACATGGATGCTAATTTTTATCACAGACTTACAAATATCTAACCATGTTGTTCTTACTCTACACTGATTTCCATATTGCATGAGTCATAGTTCTATAAATGGTCTTTAACAAATTGCTTCATTGTATTTTTCAGGTCTGATTTTGTAACGCTACCATTTCAAGGTGCTGAAGTACTGCTCGACAACATTGCCCCACTTCCAGGTCAGCATTGTTTTTGTTTACACATGATTTAAACACTTGCAGCTGCAACACCAGTTTGACAACAACAGTGCTTGTATTTCAGTCCGTTGAACACTTTGGGTTTTAACGTGAATTCAGCTAATTGGGTGTGAACGCAAAAGCTATGTTGTTCTATATCTTTAATATTATTCCACCACATTTTTTGTCATCTAACTCCTTTCCACATTTTTCAACATAGAAACTTAAGTCAAACATCAAAATATTGAGCTCAATTAGGCATGTGTGCTTCTGTTCAGATTTTTCATACATACTTTCCAAAATATTCATTTTTTTTCAAGCATTTTTTTCCCCATTCAAATGATTGCAACCAATCTTCAAACTTCACATAAATTCCTGCTTTTTCATGCATTGACAAAGCCTTTTCATTCATACATTCACGTAGAAATTCCATTCAAACTTTAAAATGTTCTCCATCTTTCGTACATTCTTACTTTTATTCAAGTTTAAAATATCATTCAAACTTTTTGAAATATTCAGACTTGTATGTGGCATGGTAAAAATGCCTTTCTCAGATTTTCTGAGTTTCTATGGGACGGAACGTTCACAGCACAGGGAATCAACTGTCAGTGCAGAGAGCTTCTTAAGCATTTCTCTTTAACTCGCTGTCACACCTACAGTTTTTACTCTGTATACATCATTTTTGGTAAAAAAAATTGAGTAAAAATTGTGCTCTTTGAATTAATGTTACTTTGCAATAGTGCTGCATGATTTTATAAAATGTGCGATTGCGATTATGGTGGACAATATCGCGATTGCAATTACAATATAATACATAAATGGTATCATTAGTCTTCTTGCTTGATTCAGTGTTTCCCCTACATTATATTAGGGGGGCACTGACCTGACATAGTTATTGTAATGGACAGACAGTGTGTCAATGACCATCAACAGACTGAGCACAGTCAAACACGCTGCTCACACAGCAGCGCAGCACGGAACTGTACACACAGCGGAGCGAGCATATGTTGCGTTCAGGCGTTGTCACTTAAATGACAAATTCCAGCGCCATAGCACAACACAGCAGCATGTCAAGTGGGCCAAACCCGTGCAAAATTGCTCAATTTGTCATTTGTTATTATATAGTTTGTTATGGAGTCCATGATTTCCCTGTGACACTTACAAATGTTTGCATAACTGTGGATGTTGTTTTATGAGGCTCTGGCGGCTTTCAGTTGTCTCTTTGTCTTAACCGTTACACGGGTCAGCATTCTCTCGCATGCACTCTTCCTACTTTTCTCTGTGCTGTCTCAAGTGCTGATATAGATTGGTCGTGTTGCCGCGGGACGTGGCAACTTTAACTTTTACACTTACACAGCACGTCTTTCTGTTCAACGTCGCCATACCTGAATCCAAAGTATCGCCATATAGCAGACGTTTTTTTCGCCACCAACTCAGCCTGTTCATGGTCGAGCTCAACTCATGCTCTTCTTCAGCATCTGTGTTGGTCACTGCTGCACGCCGGCTGTACGCACCAGGATAGCTTGTGGGCATGATGTCAACAAACTCCACACACTACAGGAGAGGCAGCCACGTTCACAGGCACACACGTTAACATTTATTTACATTAAATCGCAAATCGCAGCCTTTTATGCGGTTATGCAGTCGCACAGCCTGACATCGCGATTGTGATTAGATTAATCGTGCAGCACTACTTTGGAAGCAATCAGACTTACACATTTGGCACAGTGAGCCTGAAAGTGAGAAACTCCACTAACTCATGCATTGAACTCCATGTTAAATGAGACCTGAAATCTCTGGAGGACAGTAGATTGTGCCAGTTTTCTTCCCTGTGATCATGCTCGCATTTTTGACACTACAGACATTACATACAAAATTTCACACTGCTATATTATATACTATATTATATACTGCTTAAATGCCAGCAGTTTGAGAAGAGTACTTCATCTAAATCTCCATAAGATTAACTGTCTGACCCAGCAGTCACTGGGCAGACACACACACACACACACACACACACACACACACACACACACACACACACACAGAGGGCTGAATACATTTTACAGACAGAACCAGACAACCTGCTGCCTTGATCACATTGTTGACACAACACACACAAATTTTACACACTGTGTTTATCAGGGTGTCCTCTCTCTCACAATAGCAAGATAGCAAGACAAGTTATGTTTTTTTATTGGAAATCGTAAACATAGATTGTGAGCCTCAGCTTAATCTCTGTGAAGTTAATCTTATATTCCATGGGTATTATTCAACTTATGAATGACATTCATACTAATTTGATAGCATAAGCTTTTCAAGAACCCTGAAATATTCCACAGTATTGCTATTATTCAACTGTTTCATGACATTCATACACATTAAAGCCAGCACTGCAGTGTAGCATTAGATCTTCAAATATTCCATAGATGCATGGTATTATTCAACGTTTCAGGCCAGCACTGCAGTGTAGCGTCGGCTATTCAGCATGGAGCATTCACAAGAAATTGCATTATCAAGTATGGTGTTAGTTTTTTTAATGGCAGTTTCATATGAAATGCCTTAGTTTAGTTTTTGCTTCAAATTTGGGCTTAAAAGCTGTGTGAAAGCTACAGATATTGCGTGACTGTTGTTCCTCCTCTTATGTTGTTGTGACGTGATGTTTAAAATGTCTTATCAGGAGAGGATCGCTTTTCACCAGAAGCCACATCAGCGTTGGAGGAGATGACCAGGGGAGTGGCACTGCTCGCACAGGTCAGATCACCTCTCTTACTAAGCTAGACTCCAGAGTGGCACTCAACTGTAATTAACTGTCCATTTGCCTGTCCCTCTGTGTAAAGGTCTCAAACTACGATAACAACACAGGCCTGCCGCTAGTCCACCTGTGGAATATGGTTGGAGAGGAGGTACGTGTGTGTACACACACACACACACACACACACACACACATTTTCATTGACAGAATATTTCGCACTGGTTATTTACATTATTGTGTTGTATTTATTATGAGTACAGTCCATCTGATGCTCGTTTTCGTTTTCATTACTGCTACAAATGCAGCTGTAGCCAGTGTCTCACTATCACTATCCTGATTCATACTTTAAAAAGCTACAAATTATATTCAGTCACAAAATAAGCCTGGAAAGCTGGAAATCAGAACAAAAGTACAGAGAGTTGTTGCATAGAGATGACCGTCTCATCTAGTTGCATTGCTGTGAACTGGCAACTTTTTTAGAATGCTGCTGAACAGCACATTGCAAGTAGTTGCCCGTTTCAACTTGTCTCATCGTGAATCTTTAGTCTGAACTGCGCTTTAGATAGAACCGGTTTGCAAATGACCTTCATAGTACAATGCTCTGTAATGTATGTGATGTACACTTGTTAGTTTTGTAGGGTTGAGGTTGTCAGTAGCCACGTCGAATAGCTTTAAAATGACCACTCTCTGACACATTTCAACTTTCTGGCAAACATTTAATACAATCGTGTTTAGCTGATATTACAGCTTTGCCTGAGAAGCTGGAATGGCTTGACTAGGCTATTTAATTGGACTACTGTCCTTGTCCCAGTGTACAAAGAGGTAAGGGAAATCAATTTATTGACCAAAGTTTGTTTGACTCCGCTACAGTAGGTGTCGATATGCACCCTTTCAGCTTTTTAGTATTGGACCTTTTTCCGATTGAGCTGTCGTGTCACAGACCAAACAATTGACAAACAAGTTAGCTACGGTCAACTAGCGGGAAACTGGTACCATGGTGGACAACTTTACAGCACTGTCCATTTCATCCATGAAGTACGCTTTGCTGTTTTATATAGATGAGACGCACATTATCCCATTTAATGCTATTTGACTTCCAGGTCAACGCCTGTGGCGGAAACTTGGCGCGTGCTGCACAGGCCAGTTTGATTGACTGTGTACATATAGGAGTTATTTGATTCCCAATCGTATTACTTGGGTGTCTTAGTCTGACTTTAAAAGTTTGATTTAGTACAATGTCAGTCCGACTAACATGTTTACATGTATTTTAAAAGTCCAGTTTTAGTTGAACTAACACAGTAAATTGAATTTCTCTAATGTCATGTAAATGTACTGAATGACACTCAACACTTCCTGCGTAGATGTTTGACATCTCACAGATGTCTCTCAGATAGGTGTTTGACATTTCACATTGAAAGCCTTCAAATGCATCAGTGGACATAATGTCTTCCTTTCCTGGTTTGTGTTTAATGTGAAAACAAACAAGTGGGATGTTAGTAGAGGCAACTGAAATAAATCAATAAGAACAGTGTTTCTATTTTTTTTTTTTTTTTTTTCTAAGTTTAAGAGATAGATTGGTGAGTATCAAATGACTGTGCTGTTGTCCTGATGGAATTAGTCATACGAGTTGTTGTAGTGCAGGTAATATCTCATCTCCTCCCTCACTATTGATTTTTAGGGGTTTTTTTGGCTGGACTTACAGCCAAACTAGTGTGTCTGACCAGTGTATACACACTGGTCAGACACACTAGTGATAATAAATACATAAAATAAATAAATACATAAAAAATCAGAGTCTATCAAGAAAACAATCAGCGGTGAAATTCATTTCAAGACACTTCAGGTAAACGAATAATCCTTCAAAAAAGTTTGATTTGAGAGCACATACCTCCTCCAAAGTGTTTGTTTATGCACTCCGCCACTGTAAATCACTGTAGGCCTCGATGTTGCTCTGATGGTCCTGCAGTGCACTCACTCACCTCAGCTTATTTGGATGGAGCAACTGGGTGATTTATTCATGCTTAGTAATGATTATGCCTACTGATTAAACGCACACGTCATTTTCAATTTTTTATTAACAGAAATTAGGCTGATGTTTGTATCAAAATAGGCTATATATCATGAATTACTAGAAAACAAATACATTCAATGTCAAATCAAGATGTTCAGCAGCAGTGAACACCCCCATATAGTCAGAATGGTATGGTCTTGTTTCATAACCACATTTTGTGACGATTTTGATGGTGAGACTGGCAGCCGAATCAGACTTCTCTGAATCGAATCAAAGAATCATTGACTATTCGGGGTCACCCCTACCATGTAGTGTATTCAAATGCAACTGACACAGGGCGACTTGAGGCGACGTAGATGACGCAACAGTTGGCTTTGTTGCCGCTAGTTCTTTGATGTCGGTTTGGTGTGTCTGCACCTTTTATGAAACATTTTTCTGTACCAGTCACTCATTCCAGTCTGTTGTGTGTCCCAGTCCCGCTAAAGGAGAAGTCTTCATCTTTCGTTCTGAAATCTCTTGAGAAATGACTTATTGCAGGCTGAAAATGGTGAAAAAGTTAGTGGGAGCTGGAGAGAGCAGTGAAGGATAGAGCTTGCTTTGTTGAAGAAGAAAGTGTAGCTCAGTGTTATCTAAAATATTATCACATTGTCGAAATCAGCTAAATATTCAGCAATGACATTGAAGAAGTCTGCAGGATTATAATGGGACTTCTCCTTTAGCAAGGCTGGGACACAAAACAGAATGTGACAAGTGAAAGGTACAGAAAAAAAGTTTGATTTCTCTGCAGTGTTCTTTCCATAATGTCTGACACAGAATAACAATCTGAGCCTGTCAGTGACAAAAACAAACACTTTGAATGGTAAATTAACAGTGTGTACCTGCCCTGACTGGCTACATTGTAGCTTTTTTCATGGCTACCAACTGCAGCCCTCTCTCTCAATACTGGACCAATTAGAAAAATGATTTTCCCACCATGAATCACTTTGGCACAAAAACACGAGAAAATGGTTGAAAAATACCAGAGTTCGCCTTTTATTGATTTATCCATCATGTAAATGACCTGAATGTTTCTCTTCTTGTTTCAGGTGATTTCTGTTAACCGTACGCTGGCAGAGAGGGGCCTCGGTGTTTGGGTGGATGGATTTTGAACTCCTAACATGCTCTGATCGCAACCCCCCCCCCCCTTTTTCTCTTGCGATCAGCAGTTTGGGACCCAGGTCATGCTGGGCTCCCGGCCCCACCAGACACACCACTGGATCTAAGAAGATTGTTTTTCCTTTCATTTATTTTTTTTTTTGTCCTCTGTCCCCCCATTCCTTTGAAAAGAAATTAAAAATTGTTTGCAGGCATAATCTACAAGAACAGCACTGCTTCGAAGTAAGACAACCTCCCCCCTCTTGGTCTTGTACACAAAAATAACTTGCAGAAGGAAAGAAAGAGGTACTTGTAAAAAAAATAATAATTTTTTAAAATCTATATTGTAATTAAATAAAGGTCGAACCAATATTTTTTCCTTCCCCATCCTACCTTAATTTTTGCTCTGGGCCTTTGCTCACTGACTGGATCATCATGCTGTGTGGAAGGACAAACACCTCCATCAGACTGGAGACATTTCAATAGTCAGAGTTTCATTGACACCTCAGCGATAGTCGTCTGTAGGTCACTACTTTCAGAGTTAATTCAGCAGATTTTTGCATGGATAGAATGTAGGTGGCAGAGGGTTACGGAGACTGACGGGTGCTAACGTGGCAGAGAGCAGAGGCTGGTCCCTGGTGGAGTACCGAGCACCCAGCTGGTCTGCCTGGCACTGCGGTCTCAAGAGACACGGACTTCTTTGGGGTCTCCGTCCAGAGCTGCTGCTGCACCTCCAACAAGAACAGAGGAGCGAGCAGTTTGCTTTTGCTCTACCTTTCTCCACCAACTTGCACTGAGTACAGAGGAATTTCAACCTACCAGACAGAATGCAGTTGAACAACTTTTGAAATTGGAACTCTAAGTTGGGCAAGATTCCTTTCATATTTCCAAGATGCATTTTTCTGTCAGTGAGGCAACATAAGACTGACAGTGCAGATCATCACATAGGGACCGTTTGTAATCCTCAAATTACATCCGATCTGTTTTTAAAGACTGACATACCTGTAAAGATCCACTCCAATTTTGTGATAGCATCCCAAAATGCCTATATTTAGTGCCCCCAAAGTCCCAAAAGCTGATTATTTTTTTCTTTTTGTTTTTTCAATAATTTGAGCACAATATATTTCTTTTGCTCTCAAGATAAGAACATTTTTTTAAAAAGCAGGTATATGGAAACTGGTTAAACATGTAAATCTGAAGGGAAATGAAGCTGCTAGTGATTTACCATTACCAATATTTAATGTTGGTCAAATAACTGAATGTCTCATGGGTGTCCTCTGTTTAAGTAATTCCAAAGAAATGAGGATTTTCACTGTAATTTGTGAGTTTCACTATGAAGGCAGAGTGCCGCTGTTGTCCCACAATGAGGGAACCACCAAACTCTCACTGACATGGGAAAGAAACACTACACAATATTTAATTTGTAGAGCTGCTCTTCAGTGTCAACCTGATATTAACTGTTGATTTGAATCCAGTGTGTCATTAGTACGTATGGTAAAGCAGCCCAGAAGCGCAGATGTTCTGTGCTCTTCACTGTGCTGAAAGCCTCAGTGGTCTCTGTTAACCAGTCAGCAGGGCCTTGTTCTTTAAATGTGGATAAGGTGATTCCACACACCGCGGGATCTGCCACTTCGTCAAAGCTATCTTAAAGTTGATGTGGATGAGTTGTCATAGCAACAGGTTCTCAAACCTGAGAAATGTTGATATAACTCGGGGTTTCAGGGACCTGTATCAGCAAGCAAGTTCAACTTAAGCCTGGATTCACTGAGCCTGACAGTGGTGATCCTGAAAGCTGATATCACGAAGCTGGTGATCAGTTAACTCTTTTGATTTCTTTATTACAAACATCATCATCAGAGCCATGAGTATGGAATACTTGATGACATGAGATGAAACGATATCAGTGGGGAGATTTGGTTATTGAGGCAGCAAAAGAAATGTGTAATTATGACGACAACTTGAATTCAAATATAAAGATGAACAAAATTCACAAGTGTGATTTACGTGAAACGTTAAAAATAATAAGACTGTTCTGCTGCCTGGGCAGAGAGGGAAAAAGAAGTCTACACCCGATGAGCTTTCAAAAACTCTGTTTTAAACCTAGAATGGATGCAACAAAGTGATTCTACTCATCAGTTGTCACTTCACTGTAACCTTGTTATGTCTCCGCAGCAGCGACAGCCATGGCTGAAGGCATTATGTTTTCAGGTTGTCTATATGTCCTATTTTAGTGAACGTGATATCTCAAGAACACCATTAGGAATTATTATTATTTATTTATTTTTTTGTAATTTTGGCAAAAATGTCCACTTGGACTTGATGAACTGAATAGATTTTGGTGGTCAAAGGTCATTGTGACCTTGCATCTGTCATTCTCGTGAATGCAGTTATCTAAAGAACACCTTGGGGGAATTTCCTCAAATTTGATACAAGCGTTCACGTGGACTCAATGAATTGATGAAATGAAGTAAGTGGTCAAAGGTCAAGATCAGTGTGTCCTCAAAAAACATGTTTATGGCCTAAACTCAAGAATACATTCACTTATTATGATTTGGTCAGATACTAAATTGGTGACACAAAATCTTGAAACTGGCGTGATTGTATAGCTTTTCTGTCGGGGGGAGAGAAGATGTGTGTGAAGATCCATTTTTCACAGACATGGATGTAAACTAAGAGAAACTCGATGGGTTCGTGGAGGCATACAAACATAAGGCAGTTATTCTAGTTTTGATGTCAGGATGATGACTTATACTTTCCAAAGATCTTCAGTCAGCAAAGGAGGTTGACAGCAGTGCAGCATATGTTACCATGGTAATATCCCTAGGTTAAAAGTGAGCCAGCTTTGTGATCCTGGAAAACCTGAAGCAAGCCACTAATCTCACTGTGTGGTACAGGCCCCTGATGGGAACTTTTTTCTTACTGAGAATCATCAACATGTTAGTGTAATTACGCATTCTCACAAAGGCTGGATGTCTTTGTTCCAAAAAAAAAAAAAAAGCACAGTGTCACTCAAGATAATGTAATCCAGCCTTTAATAAGATCAGTTCTTTAAGTGTGTTTGACATACGGAGTCTGCTGGATGAGACAAGATCATTTTAGCAGGCTAACATCACGGTAGCCTGAGGGGGATTTCATAGAGAAGGATCATAAGAGAAGGGTTTGTTGTAAAAGGCCTAGCTTCAGTAATCTTAACAAACCAGGACTGAATGTTCCTAAACCCAAATCATGACTAACGTGGTCAGATTAATTGAAACATGGTTTAAGAACACAAACGTGAAGCACAGATCACCTCCATCCGCAGTGAAGAAAACAGACGTGAAGAGAGAACTGGTATAGGAACTAGGAGTTTCTGTGATAACTTAGAAATTATTAAACCTATTTTGTTAAACTAAAAAATTTGGCTGATTTACTCTAGTAATCCTGCTAATATTTTCTGAAACCACCCTCTGGATTAGTAAAACTACATTTGGAGAATAAGGTCCCGCTGACTATGTGTTTCTCTTCAGTTAACTCGTCATCTGAATGTGTCTTGTCACTGTGGTATAGATTTATTTTTTCAGACACTGAATCACAATGTTTATCCAGTGATATGGAATCGGACCTTCCTGTGTTTGCACTTCAGTGTTTGATTCAGCCTGAGGGGGCTGAATGAACCCTGTAAGGCATTCATTTCCACTATGACTGTAATCTAAATAACATGTGTTTCATATTTTTAAATTCAGTGTCTTTTCAATGGAAATGAAATCACTGTTATTCTAGCAATAAGGCAGCTTTATTTTTAAACTGACAGAATGGGGAAATGGTCGGGCTTTAAAGGGATAGTTCGTTTTTGAAGTGGGATTGTATGAGGTACTTATCCATAGACAGTGTATTACATGCAGTAGATGTCAGTTGGCAAGTTTTTCCAGTTTGGATGAACAGGCTGGAGTCTTACATGGAGGCTAAGCAATGTACTGCTGTGGAGGGGTCGGCAACAAAAAATATTTTAACAATCTAAAAAAAAGTCCCACCTTTAAAATAATCAGTATCAGTTTAAGTGTACTCTATGATGGGAGTATTTTCACTGCTTTACTTGAACATCAGACAGTGTTTTCCAATGGGGAAACAAAGCCATTATATTGCTTCTTTCAAAGCCAGACTCCATTGAGAAAACCTGATTTAGTATTGCTGAACACAGGAGCTGCTGGTCTACCACTGCCTCAAACAGTTTTTTGTGTATTTTAATGTGTGACTTTGGCGTCGAAAAGGGTGAGTGGGGATTCATCAGGGTCACACAATAACACTAATTAACTAATTAACAGGTCATGGCAGTGGTATACCAGCACCTCCTGTGTTCAGCTTGCTAAAATTACTGCTTTTGTCAATATAGTCTGGTGGCTTTGACAAGAGCATAGATGGGGAACTGAAGCTGTTAACTGTTAACGGTAAAGTGCTGAAAATACTCAAAATATAGCGTACACTTAAACTTGTATTGAATTTTTTAGATGGCGAAAATCTTTTTTGTTGCCATCCAGAGCCATGCATTACTTAGCTTCCGTGTCAGACTCCAGTCTGCTTCTCCCAACTGGGGCCGTGGCAACCGCCATCAACTGTATTTGATACACTGACTATGGATAAGTACCTCATACAACCCCGCTTTAAAACATCCCAACTATCTCTTAAAGTGTTACATTTGACACAACTAAGAAGTAGGAAAGCTAACTGCATAACTGTTGTCAACATGTAAAGAACACTACAACTCCTCAATAATACTTCATTTTAATAATGTATCTCAGGAATGGTTTGCCTGAGGGCAGCTGATGGAAGAAATGGGCATGATTGTGCTTGACAGAGAAAAATGAGATGTATAGGAAATTAAGCATTTTGACAAATAATTACATATGAGATGTAGAAATTCTTGAAGAAGGTGTCCTCAAGTTGGTGCTGGAGCAGTAGCCATATTGTCTGTTGCTGGCTTGTGTGCATTATTCCTCTGTGTTTCACATGAACTGTCTGTCCTTCCTTTTTTAAATCCAGGTAATTATATTCCCCCCTGCTCTAAGACAACAAACCAGAAGCCCCTGACCACACCTTCAAGCATCTGTTTGATCAAACTAGTTTTGTTCATTTCTCTGTAAATAAGATATTTGACTGTACTTTTCTATAACACTGGAGAGAAAGAGATATAAAGGGAACATTTTTTTTTTTTTTTTTGGTTTGTTTTGTTCTGGTTCATCCTGCCTCTGTTTCAGTCACTCAATGTTCTCAAGCTGTGGGACTGATTTTTCAGTGTTTGCATAGCTAGACAAGTCATCATTTGATTATTTAAATGGGTGTGAAGCTCTTGTGCCCAAAAGCATTTGACATGTACAGATCAGTTTTGCTAGGCTCATGTTAAGTTTGATTTGTTGATTGTACAGGTCTATTAGGGGAAAAAAATAAAAGTTATTGGAAGTGTTTATGGTCCTTTAATTTCTCACATTCATTGGTGAAGGGATTTATGGGAAGTCTTGGTCACATTGCTTTGTTGGTTAGTGGACATCTGATAAGAGCAGTTAATGATTATAAATGATAGATCACTGGTGCAAAATAAGTGCTCCTGCTGCAGATGAAGTTGTACAACAGGGGCTACCAGGGCTCCTTCGTGTCCTGGAAGAGCAGATAACTAATTTTGTAGTCATGGAAAACACATGGAAAATTAGAGAATAAGTAAAATGTGCTGGAAATTTTCTCCTGTATCTAAGAACAGTGTTAACACGGATGCTCGAAAAAGTCTTAAAATGCATTGAATTTATTTTTTCAAAAACAAGGCCTTAACTGGTATTAAAATGTCTTGAATCTCTGTGTGCTGGCTGACTGTCACTGTGCTTTGGACAACATGGGAAAGTATAAATTCAATGCAAATTGGCCATATCATGATATTGACGATTTCGACTTGTAATATTGATGTCATACTGTTACCCACAGCAACAACAAACATGGCTGAAAGTGAAATTATTAGCGACTCTGCGGTGGTTCCAAAAAAAGGAGCAGCTCCAGTAGTGTGGAATACACTGGGGCGTAATTTTGCCTGAGCATGTTTTTTGAACAGCACCGGACCTTTCAGACTCTTAAAGTGAGTTACCACAAGTTACCCTCCCTGCAGAGTGAACTTATTCAGCGGCTCCTCCGGCAGCAGCACAGTGTCTCTCCTTCTCCTCTCTCTCCTCTCGGTGTCGTCAAGTTATTAAACCTTTGGTAATGTAAACCCACGTATTGCTTGCAGCTCCACAAAAAAACGTATGTGACAGTGCGATAGTTATTTTAGCATAACAGCGTGTCATAGGTTACAGCGTGATG